GCCAATCAGAACACCTGAGGCTGGTTTAAAAGTGCTCCTCTTCTGTTATAGGCATGCAAGGAGTAGGGAAGAAGCCAAAGATCTGAGAGAGAGAGGTGTCTGAGAGAGAGCTGGGAACTGCAAGTAAGGCAGAGTGTGTTCAAGGAGCAGAAGAGGCTGCTCAGGTACCAGAGGAAAGGTACTGGAAGGGATTGTTTGGAAAAGTGGCCCAGGGTAGTTGCCAGACTGGGAGAAGAACAAACCCCATCTGTTGTCACTGCCTTAGGGTCCCTGGGCCCAAACCCAGAGTAGAGGGTGGGCCCGAGTTTCCCCCAACCCTTCCCATACCCAGAGCCGGCCCACAACATTTTGGCACCTGAAGCGGGGAGCTCAAATGATGCCCCCATGCCCCTTTGCTTGGGCCAAAACTTTGAAAGGTCTCAATTCTCTGGGCCCTAGTGGTGTCCCACCACACAGTCTGGCACCTGAGGTGGCCACCTCCGTTCGCCTCATGGTAAGGTCAGCCCTGCCCATACTACTACAGATTCTGTCTTTGGACTGGGAGACCAGGAATATAAGGTGGATTCACTCATTCTATGGACTAGCCTGTGATGAGTATGGCTCAGTAGGCTGTGATCCTTACCTCTAAACAAAGAAGAGGCTGTATGGAGGCTCACAGCAAGCCTCTCAGGCTGAACATTATCCAACACAAACTCAAGACCCATAAGCACATCCAGAGCTCTCCCACAGACCAGCCCCAAATTAAAGAGCTCTATGAGTAGGGAATAGCCCAGGGAAACAATGTAGACTCTCTGCAGGGAAGCACCCTTCTTGTGCCACTTACACATCTGGTACCCAGTGGAATGTAATGGCTTGGACCCAGATGTGAGTGGAAAATCTAAGATCCTGGGCTTAAGGTCAGAAACAGGCACTGGTACTTTACCAACCTGACAGAAAGGCAAGCATCCAAGAAGCTGGGTATGCTAACGAGGCTGCCTGGCACTCTGAGCTCCCTATCAAAGGGGAATTTATTCCAAAGACAAGAGGCCTTCTCAGAGAACATTCTACCAACAGTACCCTCTACTTCAAGGCTGGGATGTTCCAGTTCAAGTGTCTTCCACTGGTTGTGACACTGGCAGTGTCCCCTAAGGGATATGCAATTTCTCAGTAGGCTAGTCTTATCATTTAGGTCTTTATCAGCTCTAAGGGATTTCTTAGACTATAAGATAGGTAGATAGCACTGTGGGGCCCTGATCCTAAATGGGCCATTTGGGTACTACTGCAATACAAATATTAACAATAAGTCAAACTCAACCCTTCAAACTCTATCCAGAAACAGCACACAGCCATTCCAGCTCACAGACCAGTAGTTTCACATGGTCATCGTGCCTCCCTTGATCACAATGATGTTAAGGACAATTTCACACCAGTAGAGGACTTGTCTCTAACCCATTTCTGAACTGATTTTAAAGTGAAGCCACATGAACTGTACCTTTTAATAAAATAATCTGAAGATATGAAAGGTGTGGATTGAGGTGTGAAGGCAAAACTAAAGGTCAGTGTCACCTGCTCAAATGGAGATGGAAGAAAACTATCCTGGTCACAGCTGCTACTTGCTTATATAGAAGCAGCTGGGAACCCAAGTAATCCCATAGGATGCAAATTTTGATGGGCATCCAAACTTAGGCTACATCTACACAACTGGCTAAATGAACTGCAGGTGGATCAATATCAAAGCGTCAATCCAGACTGTAGTGTAGATATAGCCTTAGGGTGCATCTACACTGCACTGTTATTTTGAGATAACTAGCATTATTTCAAAATAACTATGTGAGCATCTACACAGACATTCCATTATTTTGAAATAATTTCAAAATTACGGACAGCTTATTCCAAAATCTGAAAACCCATTCTACAAGGAATAACGCCTATTCTGAAATAACTATTTCAAAATAAGGTGTGTGTAGATGCTCCACTGCTGCTATTTTGAAATAGCCCCTCACCTGGGCCATTCTAAGTTATTCCTCTCCAGTGTCTCCTGGGGTTCTAAATCAAGATAGCTTATCTACATTAGGGAAGCCTGCCTCAGACTAATTTTAAGTCTTTCCTGCAGTGTAGACATGTTATTTTGAGATGAGCTATTTTGGAATAATTATTCCGGAATAGCTTATTTCAAAATGCAAATTCAGATTGGACGTACCCTCAGTCACAGAGCAGCTCTTATATCAGGCCCCTTTCCAGGTGCTTTCTCCTGATTGATATCACTTGCCGTCTCCTGAGCATCATCACTTCTGGACTGAATCTCAGTAAACTCATTCTCATCTAGGCTCTACATTTAAAAACCCGAAAACACTGAGAAGGAGGTTTGAGTACTGCCTCTGAAGAAGATTAGGTGGGCATTCTAATGCTGGATATGATCAGCATACAGCAACCTAATTTCTTTACTAACTCCCCTGATTAGCCTCAGATGCAACCAGAACCAAAGGGTGTGAGCATAGAAACCCTCTGTCATCCCATCTGAATGAGCCACAGAACTGGTCTGTACAGATTTTCAGTTTTAATGTCTATTATCCCTAACAGAGAACCTCCTTTAAAAGCTATGTTGATTTTATATTTCTGTTTACAACTCCCTTAAAATTCATAAAATTAAAACCATGTGTCACATCATTCTCTGACTAAACTGTTCTTTGTCATCTAGTTCCTTTCTTTTTGTTGCTCATCTGAGTTATACGAAAGTGAAAAGCCAATGAGCTATATTCATCCCTGCTGTAAATACATTGACTTAGGAGGAATGAAGTGTGAATTTGGACTGATACCCTATCCTAAATATTTCCACATGATACCCTTGTGCATGACACATCTCTTTTTAAAGTGTAAAGGACTATTTTCTCCCAGGGCTAGTGTTAAATGGTCACAACAGTCGCCCTTGGCTCAAGTGCTTTTCTTTTTTGAATATTTTTCATGTCCCAGGTTTTGCCCTTGTCATCTAATCTCCAGAAAAAAAGCATTATAAAATATGTTTTACTGGAGTGACTCTGCTAAAAGTCATTTTTCACCGATTTATATCAGACCACATACTAATAACATATGCACACTCACTACCAGCTTGTCTGGGACAAATGATAATTTTGACACTCACTAATGCATCATTTTCACAGTGTTTAAAGATTTATTATCTTGGAAATGTGCATGAGCACTGTAGAAGAATCATAGCCTATAGCCTTTTTAAATAATTTCCTGAAATTTTCTCTAATCAACATCATGTCCATTCTATAATAGTTAGGGAAACCATAAATGTTAAATAAAGAGCTATGCAGATCAATTGTTATCTGTGTATAAGCTGTTTTCACTTCGTGTGTTGAATTTTCTTCAGGGTTCCTTATAGTTCTGTATCACACTATATTTCTGTATCTCACTGTCTCAGTAAAATAAAACCACTGCAGGGTTCAAAATGTCAATAATGTGGATGACCTAGGCATCTTTAACTCAAAATACAAGATTTTTTTTTCAAGGTCAGATATGTTTTCTTTCCCTTGCCATTATACTGGTCAGTGTAATAATTGAGTTTAGGCTAGACCAAAAATGTTTATGTTTACAAATTGTGGGCCTGGATTCAGAGTCCTTAACTCAGGAAAAGCTACCAGAGACAAGGATCAAAAGTTTGTCACCCAACAGTCATGGGCCCTGAAACTGCAAATGATTGAACACTTGTTTCACTTTACTGATAGAAGCTGTGCCTTTGGATCCAAGTTTGCAAGTTTCAGAATTTAGAAAATTGCTTTTCTGGCCACAATGTGAAATTAAAAGTCTAGTGACACCTGAAGAGAAATGTAGCATAAACACACGTGCTAGTCAATTGGACTAGCATGTGAGTTAAGCAAATGTTGGTAAGTTATCAGGACCATAGTATTTCAAACTTAAACATTAGAGAATTATTCCATTGTAGATGTAGTGTGACTTGCCTTACTCTCTGGTTTTGCTTTTTTCTCCCTTGTCCCTTTTGGTATTCTTGTTGACTTCACGAGCTAGCTGAACTGAAATGTAAGCAACTTTTCTACTCATTGGAAAGGTTTAAAAAACCCAGCGGTGGCACTTTTACTTATCCCATTTAAGGAAAAACCTTTGGGATATCTTTCACACCCTCCGCACATCAATGCAAAATGACAGCAAAGCAGCAGAAAGCTATAGTAATTGAAAAGTGCAGTTCTCTCATGTTTAAATTCCTTTAGGTATTTCATGGCTATCACCATCAAATTATACCATCTAAGAGCTGTATGTATTATATCTTCTTCTTCCTCCTGCCCCAAAATTTACAATACAACAAATATGAAGCTCAGACACTTTCATAACTTATGAAATTAAAGTGAATGATAACAGGATTTTCTGGATGCCAAATTCTTTCAAGTGAGTGATAATTTTTTGAATAAAATAAATGTTTACTCAGCTGTGATAAAAGCTAATCTGCTTTACCATACAGCTGGTGTCAGCTAGTGAAGAGAGTGTTCTATAAAGAATCAGTTTTTTTAGATAACTACCATCTAAAATAATTCCGCAAAGGAGAAATAATTTTGGCCATTCTGCTGATTTTTCTGTGTATAGCTAACATATTTAATACATCTAATTAAGAAGTCACCGTCAGAGGAACTGATTGGTTACATTTTTCCAAACCCCAATTGACATGTTATATTCTTCCTGGTTTATTCTTTTTCTGAACTGCCGATTTAAAGCAATAATTTTAATCACATACTTAGAATGAAGCATATTCTTAAATACTTTGCTGAGTCACATCCATATTGTGGTATAAATAGATGTATCATTTTATTTTAATCGGCCTGTTTGACCCATTCAGTGATGTCACAATACAGTACTTGTTTTGCCACAGTCAATGATATGGTAGTGAATTGTTATGACATGGATACTATTCTGGTTAAGCATGAGTAACTCTTAAAAGATTTGGATATGTATCCCTAAAAGAAATGAAGCAGGCTTGCTCAGCTAGAAGATTATTATGTAGAAGCTCAGTGCAGTAGGCATTCAGCTTCATTTAGACCCATATTAATTTATTTAGTATAACAAGACTATCAAAAGAAAGAAACTAGGTAAAATAAGATATCCACCTCTGAAAACACAGAACCCCAGGTATAACTTCATAAGAAAATTCTATCATCAGCTACAAACGGTTCTTGGTTTACTGTAACTCATTGACCCACAAAAGCGACGAGGAGTCCTGTGGCACCTTATAGACTAACTGAAGTGTAGGAGCATAAGCTTTCGTGGGCAAAGACCCACTTCATCAGATGCATGTAAATCAACTTAATATTGAATATCATTTGGTCTTTTTTTCTAAAAGTTCGTATTTATTTTAAAAAATCTACATATATCAATAGTCCTTGTTTTATATGCTTGCAGTTTGAGTTCCATATTATTGTATAAATCAAATGGCTAAGAGAATATATGAAAATTAACATGTAAATATCTGCATTCTCACACACATCATATGTGATGGTGATGAATTGTAGTGATGTCCTCAGGATCAGAAATATGTCAAATCAAATGATTATTCTAAAATCGACTTAATCTCATCTGGGGTTACAAACACAAAAATGATTTAATCATAATCATGCACTTATTGCTTGGCATTCCTACAAAACAGAGTTAAGATGATAAAGCCTTGAGTGTGCATTTCTTCACATGTTTTCATTGTCTTAAGCGTATCCTTAACTTTGAGTTTCTGAAATTAGTAATGCTTGGTTTGGGGATGATTACAGCTTCCCATAGTCTCAGTCTGACCCAGGAACCTCTTAATGCCAGCTGATAGAGGGCATTGGGGAAAGGATGGGGTTCTAATTCTATGTTAAGACAGTTGTTTGTCTGAATAAGTGTGTGCATAAGTTTGACTTCCTCTCAAGGAAATGGTAAGTTATTGGACAATTCTTAACTGTACCCAGTGCCCCTATAGTTCTTTTCCACTAACAATGGCGATTCAATATGCAAGAAAATGCTTTCCAGGCAAATATGAACACCCCTCCAATTGTAACATAGTTTGAATTGACGAGTCCTGTGGCACCTTCTAGACTAACAGATGTATTGGAGCATAAGCTTTCGTGGGCAAAGACCCACTTCATCAGATGCATGTAGTGGAAATTTCCAGAGGCAGGTATAAATATGCAGGCCAGAATAAGGCTAGAGCTAACAAGGTTAATTCAGTCAGGGAGGGTGAGGCCCACTTCTAGCAGCTGATCTTGAGGTGTGAACACCAAGAGAAGAGAAACTGCTTTTGTAGTTGGCTACCCATTCATAGTCTTTGGGTATGTCTACACTACCACCCTAGTTCGAACTAGGGTGGTTAATGTAGGCAACCGGAGTTGCAAATGAAGCCCAGGATTTGAATTTCCTGGGCTTTATTTGCATATTGCTGGGCGCCGCCATTTTTAAATGTCCGCTAGTTCGGACTCCGTGCCCACGGCTACATGCGGCACGAACTAGGTAGTTCGGATTAGGCTTCCTATTCCGAACTACCGGTACACCTCAATGATACGTTGGAGAGGTTTTAGCTGAAGACTGTAGGTGATGGCCAGTGATGTTCTGTTGGTTTCTTTCTTGGTCTTGTCTTGTAGTATGAAGCTTCTGGGTACATGTCTGGCTCTGTTAATCTGTTTCCTCATTTCCTCATGTGGGTATCGTAGTTTCAAGCTTGGTGAAGATCTTGTAGGTGTTGGTCTCTGTCTGAGAGGTTGGAGAAAATATGGTTATACCTTAGTGCTTGGCTGTAGACAATGGATCGTGCAGGTTTTCAGTATAGGGTGGTGTTTATATGACCATCACTTATTTGCACTGTGGTGTCCAGACAGTCATTCTACTATTCTATCTACTACCCAAGATCCAGAAACCTGGAAATCCTGGACGCCCCATCATCTCAGGCACTGGCACACTCATTGAAGGACTGTCTGAATATGTGGACTCTCTACTCAGACCCTACGCCACCAGCACTCCCAGCTATCTCCGAGACACCACTGATTTCCTGAGAAAACTACAGTGCATTTGGTCATCTTCCAGAAAACACCATCCTAGCCACCATGGATGTAGAGACTCTGTACACAAACATCCCACACATAGATGGAATACAAGCTGTCAGGAACAGTATCTCTGATGATGCCACAGCACAACTGGTGGCTGAGCTCTGTGACTTTATCCTCACACACAACTATTTCAGATTTGGTGACAATATATACATCCAAACCAGTGGCACAGCTGTGGGCACCCATATGGCCCCACAATATGCCAATATTTTTATGGCTGACCTGGAACAATGCTTCCTCAGCTCTTGTCCACTAACACCCCTTCTCTACCTTCGCTACATGGATGATATCTTCATCATCTGGACCCATTGGAAGGAGACTCTGGAAGAATTCCACCAAGATTTCAACTGTTTCCACCACACCATCAACCTCAGCCTGGACCAGTCTATACAAGAGATCCACTTCCTGGACACCAAGGTGCAAATAAGTAACGGTCACATAAACACCATCCTATACCGAAAACCTACCAACTGCTATGCCTACCTTCATGCCTCCAATTTCCATCCCAGACACATCACACGATCCATTGTCTACCGCCAAGCACTAAGGTACAACCGTATTTGCTCCAACCCCTCAGACAGAGACCAACACCTACAAGATCGCTTTTGAGGATCCAGACTAACACGGCTACCCCTCTGATACTTGGCAGTTTGAATTGTGATCCCCCTACTTCCATCACACAGAATTAAAACACTACACACTTAACCAGTGCATGTCAACACTGAATATCTGTTAATGTTGCTGTGGCTATAATGTTTTTGTTACTTGTTGACAGAATGAATGCTGAGAGGGTTAGTGAAAAGATAGCCTATGTCAATCAGGTAGCAATGGGAATTGTTGCCACCTTTGCTGGAGGCAGCCTCTTGGTCACATGGCATTACTTTAGGGAAATGGCAGCCCTCCTTTCTAAGGAACAGTGTTGCCTCAGTTCCTTTGGAAACAGTAAGAAATGGTTGCCATCCTTACTATTTGCCCCCAATCATATTTCATTACCTGCTCGGTCTAAGGATATGTCTACACTAGAAATAGAGGTACAATTTCCTGCCCACTCTGTATATTACATTTCCAGCTTCCAGTGTAGATATACCGTAAAGCAGCATTCCCAATTTGCTTGGATTAGACTCTCCTGGGCTGTGTCTAGACTGGCAAGTTTTTCCGGAAAATCATCCACTTTTCCGGAAAAACTTGCCAGCTGTCTACACTGGCCTCTTGAATTTCTGCAAAAGCACTGACGATCTCATGTAAGATTGTCAGTGTTCTTGCGGAAATATTATGCTGCTCCCGTTCGGGCAAAAGTCCTTTTGCGCAAAACTTTTGCGCAAAAGGGCCAGTGTAGACAGCTCAGATTTGTTTTCCGCAAAAAAGCCCCGATTGCCATTTTCGCAAATCGGGGCTTTTTTGCGCAAAAGTGCGTCTAGATTGGCACGGACGCTTTTCCGCAAAAAGTGCTTTTGCGGAAAAGCGTCCATGCCAATCTAGATGCTCTGTTCCGAAAATGCTTTTAATGGAAAACTTTTCTGTTAAAAGCATTTCTGGAAAATCATGCCAGTCTAGATGTAGCCCTGTAGTATATGGCCTATTTTTTATTTCTTTGTCTAGAAACAGTTTCATCTAGAGAACCAGAACACCTATTGCAGTGAACAATCTGCTCTGGCTGGGAGACAGAGATGCAAAATTCCTGTTAGATCATCTAGGATACATTTTCATTCTGTAAGTCATCAACTGTCTTCTCCCTTCAGTACAGAAATGACCTTTTTATAATCATGTTCTTTTGTTGACTTTAAATCTATGGTAGAAGGATTCACTTTTTTCTGCTTCGTAAGATAATATGTTTTCACCACTGGAGTGAGAAGAGATCAAAAACACGTGGGATTTCAAAATCCTCCTTTAGAAGAACAGCAGTCTAAGGTTAGAGTTACTAAGACTATATTAAATCCTCTATAAAGGGACGTTCTATGAAGTGTGAAAATGTCCTCCACCTTTTCCTTCATCCTCATTCCCATTCTATTGACTTAGCTTTAGAATAGTCATGGATTGCCAGGTATAATGCATGCTCCTATGTGTTAATGAAAATGTATGGAGCCATATCTGTTATTTACTTTAGTGAGCCAACAAATCCTTTTCTATAATCTTTCTTTCATTACTTGAGATGGAAGGTAATGTCTAGCCCTATTTGGGATGAATGTTGCCCTACTATTGGATACTGACCTTTCATTTCAAACATAACTTAAGTCAGAAGAAATCACCTCCTGACCCCAATTAACTATGAATTGTGACTATCACAATTAAGGTATACAAGGCTGATAGGATTCTTTTTACTAGAAAATGTAGGCTATGAGACTGTTCAGTTGGGCCAATTTAAAAGGTATATTTAATAGATTGCAATTTTAGTTCCATATTATTTTATATGTCAAATGGCTAAGAGAATGTCACAGTTGATGATGAAATGTATACTTTGTATTGAAGTGTAATGAATGTCTTTATTGTAAAGACAGATGATTCATAACATTTCAAAGAACTATATAATGCACTAGACAGGCCTTTCAGAAAGCCCCAGGTTCTGACTGAAAAAACAGGTGCTTCAGCTGAGACAGTGTGCAAATAGTATATTAATTCATTTAAATTTGTTCTAATACCTAATGTTAGCAGTACTGCTGAGAGACAGAAAACTATGAGAAGTTTGGATTTTGATTTGTCAAACACTGCATTAGGTTTAATATAAATAACATGCAACTTGAACACAAATGCCAATCAGTGCTCATCTGTGTTTGCGAATGAAATTGGTAGAGCATGAGAAGTTAATAATGTTATCCAGTAATAATGTTATTCCAAAAAAATGAACACTGATCTTTCTTTCTAATAGGGAAAAAAAGATCATAGCATAGTAGTGTCAAAATTTTTTGTTAGAACCTTGAAAATTATTAGTTGTTCAACTGGGATCCTCACAATAAAAAATTAGTCTAATTCTTTTTGTTTAAACAACAAAAAGCATTATATCCTCTATCTTTTGGCCCAATTCAGACCTGATATAAGAAGATGCAATTCCATTGACATTAGTAGAATTACAGCCACTTCTTCCTGCACTAATTTATACAGTTGCTGTTATTTATTTGTAAAGTGCTGACAGTTGTCCCGGTTCTGTATAAAATGCCTATCGTGAAGAACTCATAGGCTATGTCTACACTACGGCTTTTGCCGGAAGAGGCAATGCAAATTAAGTGCAGTTTAGCATTTTCTCAAGCTTCATTTGCATAATCTCTTCTGGTCCATTTTTGCGCAAGAGGTTTTTATGCAAAAACAAGCAGTGTGAGCGTTTCCTTTTTGTGCATAACCCTCTTTTTTGCACAAGATCCTTATGGTACATGATCCTTTTTGCACAAGATCCTTATGGACCAAAAGAGATTATGCAAATGAAGCATGAGAAAATGCTAACCCGCGCTTCATTTGCATTGCCTTTTCCGGCAAAAGCTGTAGAGTAGACATAGCCATAGTCTAAAAAACAGGCATATATTACCCATATATAGAGCTGTTTGGATAACAGAATTTCCATTAAATAGGAAATTCTGATATGCTATGGAACACTATATTCAAACATGATGGATAGATTATCTAAAATCCTTACATGGTAATATGGGATTAGGTGTGAAAGAGTAAATATAAAAAGAATCCCTGAGCTGATGCATCTAATATAATGGCTGATCATTGCAGTCCCTGTGCTTTTTTATATTTTACATATTTCAGTCCCAGTGCTATAGGCATGAGTATATGATATATAAATAACCTTTTTACTAGACTTTATCTAACATTTCACTAATGGCTTAAAATCATTTTTCCTCTGGAAATGAGGAAGAGGTAAAACATCTCTATTTATTCTTATTTTAATTGCCCCAAATAAAGATGTTACATATTTAAAAAAAAACACATTTTTTTCAGAGTGCCTAACATAACAAAAATACATGAGTGCACAAATAGAGCCCAAGGGCAGGACACAAGACAAATGGTATAGGCCAAAAAGCAAAAATTTGTGTGTGGAAACCCATTAAACTATATGCTATATAAAAGCAAAACTACTGGATACAGAAAAGGAGGTAAAGAGTCCAAGAAAACACTTAAAATTATATGCAGTAAATATGGCCTATGGTAGATCTTACATATGCCTCCATCCAGAACTCCCCAGTCTATAAAACTGGCCATATGCATTTATTAAAAGCCAAAGTTTGATAATGAGGCTTCAGCATCCTTACTCTGCTTCTTGAAGGGAAAATGTTGGCAATGTTTAGGATATTTAGTAAGTGAGTCAGTTTGTACATTTCAGCAATTTGGCATAGCAATCAGAGGTTCATTTAATTTGGTGAAAGGGGATGTAAAAAGGTTAAAACAAATATTTTTATTTTTCCTGAATCAGATCTTCCATCCTTAGTGTGCTTTGTTGTACATAATGGCCAAGTGACTGATTATGCACTGAAATTACTATTCCCCCGTTGTTTCTGTTCCTAGTACAGTTGTAATCCATAAAGCAGCTTGAAGATAGCCACCAGTCAAAGAGAATATGGATGATAATCTTGTCCACACAGAAGAGCATGGAGGAGACATGTACATCACCTTTGCTCCTTAGCCCCCTTCCAGCTCAGACTTTGAAAGAACCTATCCCCTTCAGAAAATCTGTCTCCAAAATTTACCAGGATGTTAGATATGTGGGAATTCGTGTTCTGTTTTTAAATGGGATCTAACTAGAATCATTATGCAAATAATGGTAGTCCGAATCTATATTTAATATGACTCTCTCCTTTTTCTGAAACTAACAGCATTCAGAAAAAGACACTGGACTGCAGCCCATGGTACAGAGTAAAACACATCCATTCTCCTATTTTATTTGCTTCTTTCTTTCTCTAAAAGTAATGGCTCTTGGTGTAGAGGTTGTTCAGGAAGTACAAATATTAGTTTATTAAAACAAAATTAATTTAACATAAAGCATGAAGTGGGCTAAATGTAAATCTGAGAAACTGGGTCTTTATCCTTTTTAATACATGTGCTCCCTGTGGCTTCCTCCTTTCCTGAAAGCCCTCCTTTAGTCACCAGGACTTTATGCAAAAGGTAGGGAGACGTTCATTTAAATATTTTTAGCTAAGAAGTTATTGCATGTGGGTTTATTGGTCTCAATCACTTATTAGGTTAACCCAGACCATTCAGACAACACAATTACAACTTCCAGAAAATCACCCATGTATGTGATATCTTTGTAACACTGGAGACAATGGAACAGTGCAAATGTCAACCAAAAGTTGAGATTCAGGAATGCAAGAGCTTTCCTGGTGATTGGCCCAAATATGTGAAGAAAGCAAATTAGGCACCATTGGATAAGACAAGAAATTGTATTCCCAATATTGAACCTGATTCTCATTTACCCACAGTATCCCGAAATAGCTGTGCAGGGTAGACATACCCTGAATTTGTGATGAGTGAATAGTAAATGTCAATGTAAAGGATAGAATAGAAATTATACTTACAAGAATGTGATGGATTCAAGCACCTTATGGTTTGACGCTGGCTACCTTAGGAAATATAACTGATAGTAACCTGAATATAAATAACAAACTTTGAATTATCCAGGTTTGTATTTCTCCTTGAGATCTTTGTAAATGTATCTTGTATGTACAATTTCCAAGAGATATATCTTCAGTTAATGTAAATCAGTGGTGCCCACTAACGTCAATGGATCTACAGCAATGTAAACCAGCTGAGGGTCTGGCTCTGTTTAGAATGCTTTGCTCAAACCATGATGACCAGAGTGTTATTTAATTATTTGTATGTGCAAATTATCTGCTGGGCATGCAGAGGGAGCCCGGCAGCCAGGGAGACCGCAGGATGAGGGAGTAGACCAGGCCGGGCCGGTGGTTCTACAGCAGCTGAGACCGGAGTCGCCGTCCGTGCCTGAGCCGCCAACCCCAGGGAGGCAGGAGCACCCGCAACCCCGGCAAGTACTGACTCAGAGGCGAATGGGCCCCAGGGGAACCAGGGCGTGGCAGGAAGCAGCCCAGGACAAAGGACTAAAAGCCGGGCTCGGTGTGTATCGGCCGGATTCCCCGCCGAGCGGGCAGGAGCCATAGTCCCTGCCTAAAGAGCCCTGGGCTGGGACCCGGTGGAGAGGAAGGGCCCAGGTCCCTCTACCAATCAATAATCAATCCCGGGCCAGGAGAGGCTTCTCTGAGCAGCTAGGCCTCTAATGCCGTATTCACCCTGATAGAGGGGCATGAACATTAGGGGGAACTGTTAATGCCGTATTCACCCTGACAGAGGGGCATGGACTTTATGTTGGAACTATTAAGGCTTTATTTACCCTGATAGAGCGAGTAAGGGGGGGTGCACCCCACGCCAGGGTCTTACCCCGTGACAAGGACCCAAGCAGGGCACCAGATGGCTGGGTAAGGAGAAAAGTGAGATGTGTGGATGGCCTGTTTCTTTTTCTGTGTGACGTGATTACATTACGAAAATGTATAATAAATTTCAGTCATGATGCTGAAATAACCTCTTTGGAACATGGTCATTGTATGGCCGTGGTGTCATAATACCTCCTGCCCTTCTCCATTGTCTCTTCAACATTATCTCTATATATTCCAGCTGGGCATTAGGCTGTGAATTTGTTTTTTAAATAAATTCATCATAGTTATTTCCAAAAGGTAAAATTTCCTAAAACACTTAGATGAAATAGGAGCCTAGATTTCAGCTAAAAATAAGTAGAAGGCACCAGAAACTAATTAAACCTTTGAATAGGTCTATGTGTGACACTTCGGTGTTCAAGAAGCTGTCACCATCTACCCTCATACACTGGATGCCTTAGCTCACAGGCCTGACATCAATAGCCAGACTTACAAATGCAAATCCCATCCTGGCTTCCTCCACCCAACTGAATAGCCCCAGTGCCAGTTCTTAGTAATGGAAGAGATACTGGGGCTTAAGAATTTAGGTGTTGGGGACTCAAACATTTTTTTAAAATTTTCATAACTGATGCAGCAAAGCGGTGCCAAAGCGATGAACTGTAATGGCTAGAGGTGCCAGGGCTCAGTCCTGGCCAGCCCACCATCCTCACAATCTTGAATTTTACCCCAAACTATTTGCCACTATGACAGTCTGCTGAGATTTCCTGAATTGTGAGTACTGTGTTACTGCTCTCAGCCTCACCTAGAGTTTTGCTACTCTGTGACATTTCCTGACATACCAGCTTGTCTGTCTTGCCAACAAACTTCACAGGATTCTGCCAGTCTGAACCTTAGTTGGATAGTAATAAATATGGACATCTTAGCTCCAAGATTTCACAGAGACATCTATATGAAGTTTCCGGTCCTCTCCTGCAACAGCTAATTGAATAGTTTAAGTCAAAATAGCGTATTTCGACTTTTGGTGCTGTCTACACAGCAGTAATTTTGCGATAGGTGGTGTGGCAGGGCCACACCTTGTGGCCCTGTACTGGCCCTTTAAGGGGCTGAGACCTGAAGAATGGCCGTACTAGGTTAGACCAAAGGTCCATCTTGCTCAGTAGCTTGTCTGCTGACAGTGGCCAGCACCAGGTGCCCCGGGGGGAGGACCAAAGACAATGATCAAGTGATTTGTCTCCTGCCATCCTTCTCCTGTCTCTGACAAACAGAGGCCAGGGACAGCATTTCTATCCCCTGTCTAATAGTCTTTTATGGACCTAACCTCCATGAAATTATCTAGCTTCTCATTGCAGGAGGAGTAATGGTAGTTCGAACTAAGAGTGTTAATTCGAACTATCTAGCCTATGCTGCGTGTAGCTGCGGGCAGGTAGTTCGAGCTACCGGGCATTTAAAAATGGCGGCGCCTAGGAACATGCAAATGAAGCCCAGGATATTTAAATCCTGGGCTTCATTTGCAAGTTCGAATGACTACATTAGCCACCCTAGTTCGAACTAGGGAGGCTAGTGTAGCCATACCCCTATAGTCCTAGCCGTCACAGCCTCCTCTGGCAAGGAGTTCCACAGGCTGACTACACATTGTGTGAAGAAAAACTTTATTTTATGAGTTTTAAACCTGCTACCCATTAACTTCATTTGGTGTCCTTTAGTTCTTCTATTATGGGAACTAATAAATAACTTTTCTTTATTCACCCTCTCCACACCACTCATGTTTTTATATACCTCTATCATATCCCCCCTCAGTCTCCTCTTTTCTAAACTGAAAACCCCAGTTAAACCCTAGTTGCTTTAACCTCTCTTCATATGGGACCCGTTCCAAACTCCGAATCATTTTAGTTGCCCTTTTCGGAACCCTTTCTAAGGCCAAAATATCTTTTTTGAGGTGAGGAGACCACATCCGTACGCAGTATTCAAGATGTGGGCATACCATAGTTTTATACAGCGGCAGTAAGATATTCTGTGTCTTATTTTCTATCCCTTTCTTAATAATTCCTAACATCCTATTTGCCTTTTTGATCGCCACTGCACACTGGCTGTGTCTACACTGCACCCCTTTTCCAGAAAAGGGATGCAGATTAGACAAGTCGGAATTGCAAATGATGTGGGGGATTTAAATATCTACCGCTTCATTTGTATAAAAATGGCTGCCGCTTTTTTCCAGCTCGGGGCTCTGCCGGAGAAAAGCGCCAGGCTAGACGGGATCTTTCGGAAAATAAAGCCTTTTCTGAAAGATCCCTTATTCCTGATTTTAAGAGGAATAAGGGATCTTTCGGAAAAGGCTTTATTTTCTGAAAGATCCCGTCTAGATTGGCGCTTTTTTCCGGCAAAGCCCTGAGCTGGAAAAGCGCGGCAGCCATGTTCATGCAAATGCCGCGGAAGATATTTAAATCCCCCGCGGCATTTGCAATTCCGACTTGTCTCATTAGCATCCCTTTTCTGGAAAAGGGTGCCAATGTAGACACAGCCTGAGGGTACGTCTAGCCTGCCCCTAGCGTGTGGAAGTCTTCAGAGAACTATACACGATAACTCCAAGATCTCTTTCCTGATTTGTCATAGCCAAATTAGCCCACATCATACTGTATGTACTGTTGGGGGCATTTGTGTGCGCCCGCCAAGTGCTTGGGGCTGGCCTGGCCCCGGGCACGTGGCGCATGCATGGTGCTGGAGCCGGCCCCGGGCGCACAGCACACAGTGGGCGCGCGGCACTTGGGGAGGGGGGAACTGGCCCCGGGCGTGCGGCGCTTGGGGGGGGGGGAACCTGCTAGCCCACATCATACTGTATGTACTGTTGGGGGCATTTGTGTGCGCCCGCCAAGTGCTTGGGGCTGGCCTGGCCCCGGGCACGTGGCGCATGCATGGTGCTGGAGCCGGCCCCGGGCGCACAGCACACAGTGGGCGCGCGGCACTTGGGGAGGGGGGAACTGGCCCCGGGCGTGCGGCGCTTGGGGGGGGGGGAACCTGCCC